GCAAGGCCAGCATGGCACACAGCCCGTTCAGAGGGCTGCTCTCCAGTAAGAAATTTCTTCGACTCTCCTTGTGGTGCGGATTAATTCAGCACTGAGCTGGCCATTCGCTTCGCAGGACCGAGGTGGCACCTGCTGCAGAAGCGTGCTTCATACAGCAAGGTTGGGGGGTAATAACCCAGCTCTTGTGAGCTCCTGGCTGCCGTCAGCAGCCATATTTTCCTAATAACCCTAAAATATGTTTTGTTTTAATGTGATTGTGGCTATTAGGTTGAACCTTTCCCACTGTCGGGGATTTCTGAAACCTTAATTGCTTTTCCAGCTTAATTGCCCCTGGAATGAGATCAGGAATTAGCCTTTTGCTAATGGGGAAATATTTGAGAGCTGTTATGGCTCTGAAACTATTATTTTTAGACCTAAATTAAGATGGGGAAATGAGATGCAGATAGCAATCAAGGTTTCACCATATATACACTAGAATGCACTAGGAATTACAGGATTAAATGCAGCCTAAAATGAGCCCAAGAACCTGTTCCAAATGAGTGTTCTTGAGACGAAACGCCCAGCACATTCGCCCAGCTACACGCAATCTCGATGCTTATTTTAATGCGAAGGTCTTGCTGATAGGCCTCATTCCATTAATAAATTCACTGGGCTTATATATAAAAAGGACCCAAATCATTCTTTATTGGAATAATGCGGGAAGATTTTAAGGTTTGCATTTTTCCCTCGTCTTAAAGAAAAACTACGAGATTGAATAATGACCTAATCGGTTTTAGCAGCTGCTCTGCCAGCATGTGGAGAATTCGTGCGGTATGTCTTGTCATTGGGAGACTTTAACCATTTTTGAGCACTTTAAAAGCTCTGGGAAGCAAGGCAGTAATACCTTGCAGTACTTCTGAGGCATATGTGAAATTCAGGTTTCAGCAGACACCGCTTAAAGCACAGCAGTTGTGAGAGTGAAAACTCGAGTGTAGCAAATTAGCAGTTTTATTTTATACCCAAGTCATTACTCAAGGATAGAAAACTATGCCAGAAAAGCACAGCATGTGATAAAAATGAATGTTATTTTTATTCTTAGGAAGAAACTTTCATAAAATTGTTACTAGTGTTGCGATTCTCATTACTTACTGATTTGTTTAAAGGACCCTTCTCATTCGTGGTGGTCCCTTAGACAAGAGAAACCACGCAAAAACCAAGCAAACAAAAAAAGCAGAGCCCTCAGTCAAAAAGTCTTGCAGTTCAAGCTGATCATTCCGCGTATTTAGGTCATTCAATCATCTTTCCACCAAGACTTTTCAATTTGTGGGGCCTGTATAAACTAATATTTTGAGACCCTGTAGAAATGTAACATATGGTTCTTTAATTAAAGGCTGTCAAAATGCATATGTGCAGTATGACCTAACTAAGATTTCATTGAGGGGAAAAAAAAACACATCACTTAAACCTGAATGTAAACAATTCTTGCTTGTTTTGGTGAAGCCAATGGAAAAAAAATCCCACAAATTAGTCTCTAGATCTTGCATTGCTTTTCTCTCTTTCTCGTCTCCTTTTACCCCATAAATGGGGCTGTTCCATGCTGGAGACCTCAGAAATCCATCAAACCCTCTGGGAAAAGATATGTAAACATTCAGCTCAGAGACAGGAAAGTTAACTGGACCATCCTGGTCCAAGCAGGTGAGCTCGGAGACCTTCTCTTTTGGGAGAGGATGGGGAAAGACACGAAGGGGCCCCCTGGATCTGATACCCACTGTTTTATGGCTGAACATGGTGAAAAGGGAGGAGACCTGCTTCAGGCTCCATGATGGCATGCTGGTTGTGCTGGCAATGCACCACTTCTGTTTCTACAGGATAAATAACATAATTTCTAGCAAGTCTGGGAGCTAAAGCGTATCTGGCTCTGACAGGGACAATCAGATTTATGTAATTTTCTGACAGACAGTTAAGCTTAAAGCTGTACGAACTGGAAATGCACTGTCAAGTTAATATTTTAGAAGCCGAAGGTTTTATGAGGCAAGACACTTAGACCTCTTCTCACAAAGATGCTGCTGCTTTCTGCTGTGTTTCTAGAAGTCCTCAAACGTTGTGCAGCTATCAGACAAGATCCTACGCATGCAAATCTGATCCTTATTAACGTTAATAAAAGGAACATTTCTAATGAGGGGCATGTTTGGACTATGCCATGACTTACAGGCTTTGGAGTGTGTGTGACGGGCAGCAGCAGCTCTCCTCCTTTATTTGCAGCAGGAACACTAAGCATGTTTGAAGCTCCCTAATGCAGGAGAGATGATATGAAATGACTTAAAAGCTGAAGTTGGGTTAAGATTTTCCAGCCAGTGTGATGCTCTGAAGGTGTCCAGAAATGCTATGGCAATTCCCTAGCGCAGTCCCCTTATTACACTGTTCCCCTCAAGTAATTCAGGAGTTTCATGGGTATTGCCATGAAGCCTCAAACCTAAGGTCTAGCTACGATGTGTAGGTGCCAAGGCCATGAGGGACATGTAAGGCTGAGCTTGATCTACTGCAAATAATTTTCCCATCCCTGTCTGTCTGTGTCCTGCCAGGAGGCTGGGTTGCTTTATGCTTACTGGCAAACAACCTGGAGATGCCAAACAGTCCTAAGACTGTTGATGTGCTTTTTAATTAATTTATTTTTTCCTCCTGAAACTTCGTAATTGGAAGAGAGTTTCTCTAGGTGACTGGGTTTGTCACGTGGGTATTAGTGCAGGATCAAAACCAGGAGTTTTGATACTGTATTGTCCCCAGTTCAAGGGGCACTCATATTTCTCCTCATGTTTGATGCGTGTGGCATAGGATGAGGATAAAAGCTTGAAGTGTACGAGTCTCTGTCAGGGTGAAGAACACAAATAATTATGTTATTTAAAAGCTAAAAAAGTGAAACTCCTCTTCTGAGTAGCACAGCTTGTGCTCCGACTGTAATTCTGCCGCAAATTACAGTACTTTAGGATCTTCTTGCTGGAGGCAGGGCTTAAACCTAATTTTCCCTCTTCTTATTATTACAAAATAATTGTACCTGTTTCTTCTGCATTCTCATCAATTTTCAGTGTAAGGGTTTAAGCAGCTATGATGATAGCAAACGTGTTTAAAGATGACAGATACCTTTCCCCTCTACAAACACAATCTACTGTGTTTGCTGTTGTTGTTGTTTTTAATGAAGTAGTTCTGAAACCCAAATGTCTCCTTAATGCTTTAATATCTCCTTCAATTACATACAGCACCTCAGAAAAGAAACAAGTGTGCAGGAAATGAGCAAAGGAGATGGTATAAGGAGTACAGCAGCGAGAAGAGGCACAGGATTACTAAAAATACTTCTATTTTTGTCTTCAGATGTAGGTATTCCACTTGACTAGTCCCTACTTATCTGTCCAACAGTAATTGACAGGAACGCATTTTGAAGGCTTGTCAATTTGAGTTAGGTGCCTTCCTGCAAGTGGCTGTGTGCTGAGGAAGTGGGACTCAGCGTGTTATTGTAGTGAAAAAAAAAGTAAATAAAAAGGTAGTTTCTGGAGTCATGATGCTCTTCTAACAGTTTGTTTAGGAGAAGCAAAAAAAAAAAAAATCCCTTTGGGAATTTGTACCGTATAGCATAATTGTGTGTCTCATTAAAATGCTCTTCCCTTTATTATCCTCGCGTTTACTACAGTAGGGGTTTTGTTTGATGTTGTGATGATTTATGAGTGCTTCTGAAATGGCAGAGAAAACAGAGTTTTGGGGAAAGGAGAGATGAATGATTGCCCTTATAAGACTACGGGATGCAGAACTGTAGGTTGGCAATACTTTTGCAGTTTGTACAACTCCCGTTATTCTGTAGCCTTTCTGTAGGGTACAAATCTGTAATCATCGATGCTGAATGCACATTTTTCTGAGCAAATGTTTTACTTCGATTTTAGGTGTGTTTCTGGTTTGCAGGGAGGGAGATTTACTTGGTGGCGGTATCAAAAATAGATTTGAAAGAAGCTTAGGAGCATTTAAAATATTAGTGAACCTCAAGCAGTTTAGCAAAATTGATGGGATTTTATGAAACGCTTCAGTGTCGTTACAGGAACATTTTTCTCACCCTCTCCCTGTCCTTCCCTGCAATGTTACCTGAAACTTTGTAAGTGTTGGTGATGATTTCTTTTGGTTTGCTGTTTGAAAATCTGAATGCAGGTGGTCCCTTGCCACAATTGACCCTATCTCAGTAAAACAAGTGGCTTAGCTTTCTTCATTTCAGTGGAGTAAATCCAGAAAGCAGTGGCATGCTGGTGATTTGAGCATGTTACGTGTTGAAGGTGAGGTTAGGTTACATTTGTATGGAAGCCACAGAGGTTTTGTGCAAAAGCTTTCATGTTAATGTGGCTACACCAGCTTGGATCAGAGGAAAATATTCCCCTTGACCCAAGTAGAGCCTTGTTGCTTACATGAATTTTTGATAAGATCTTTATATCTGTCAATTTTCTGTTTACCATTTGGTTTGGGTTGGAAGGGACCTTAAAGATCATCCAATTTCAACCCTTCTGCCACGGGCAGGGACAGCTCCCTATTGATTTTCTTACAAATCCTTTGTTTGTAATCTGCTTGCTTACTTTTTGATGGATACTTTAATAACACTTTTTAAAATTTAAATTTTATTTAATCCTTCCTATTTCTAATTACCCATATTCTATAACATTTTAAAAACAGACCAGAAGCTTTGGCCCTGTGTGCCCTACAGTATGTTCAGCCTTGTTTAGGCTTACTGCAACACTGCAGTCAGAGTTCTTGTTGCCTTGAGGGAATTTTCTTGTGTTTCTTAATTTAATTAAGCATTTCCCATTAAGTTTAATTATATGTTAAGATGGAGAATTCTTCCTGACCCTACAACAATAAGCGTTTACAAAACAAAGCACGGTTCTCGCAGAATTTCTTCTGGGACATCATCTTGTTTGACAGAGCAAATAGTTTAACAAAGATTTTAATATTCTGTGTTTTTGTAAACCTTGTTTCTTTTTATCTCCATTCAGCTTACTGGAATGAAGTTTGGCAGACAAGTTTCCACAACGCAGTCGTTATTACTATCAAGAAGTAAGGATCACACCTACGCTGTCTGATTTTGTCCAGTAGCGGTAAGTTTGCATTGGTGCAGTGCTCACCCAAACGTTTTGACTCATAATCACTTCCTGGGGATTGCCCATTCTCTGTTTTGTGGCTGTGGCAGTCAGACCGCCATAAGCTCCTTCAGTATTTTAAGAGAGTATTGTTGCTGGTATGTCACCAATAACCAATGTATTTCCATATTTCTGCTCCCTGGGGTAACATTTTTTCCTATATCTACATGAGAGTGATTGAAGTTACAGATTGCTCATTGATCTATTGGCCAGAAGCTATTTCATACTCTGTTTCAAAGTTTTGCATTTTGGGGCTTTTGTGTTTGTTAAAGACAGTTTGCTATTTAAGGAAAAAAAAAGTGACACTGAGAACTGTACATCTCACATGCTAAACGCAAGCTTGCTGAAGGAATTTCTTGAAGGCTGTTTCTGTAGTCTCCCAGCTGGCTTATGATAGCACAACATGAAATTCTAGAAAGAGCAGAGTCCCATCAACATCACATCTGTTCAGATCACTCGCTTTTTAGCTTCCATGCTGAAGTTCATAAATATGAAAGGGAAGAAGGCTCACAGTTCTGTCTGATATGCAGCACATTTTATGGTATCAAAATTTACTGTAACTATTTTAGTCAAATACATTATTCTGGCATGACCTAGATATAAACACAGTAATTTTACCTTTTATATAAACAGCTTTTCACATTAAAAAAAAAAAAAAAGGTTTGTTTTACAGTATTTATATGCACAGAAATGCCTGCTATAAAAGGTAAGCTCCTGGCTGTGTTGGTTTTAGTGGATTTCACTATAAATTGCCTTTATAAAGCAAGGAGGCTTGGAGCCAGCCCACCTTGCTTTCTCTCCCAGGTTGAGCCTGCTTACAACAGGTAGGAAGTATTCAAAGGACGTTTGAAAGCAAATTGTCTGTGGGGAGAAGCTGTTTCTTCTCCATGGTCTGTGGGAGGTATGGCCTGAACTGTTGGTTTTAGGGGCTGCATTTTAGTGTAGGGCTGAGCTTGGCCCTCATAGTCTCTGCAGTGTCATTTATGAGTGGAAATGTTGTAGGTGAGAAATACCCGGCCAAGTCCTATACCTTAAAAAGTTGCTCCAGTTCATGAAGTGGTATTCATAGGCCACATCACAGGGACAGACTTGCTTTGCCAAGATTCAGAAGGTGACAATACTTTGAGAGGAGACTTGCTTGGTGCCACACTTGCACATAGCTTTCAGGATCAGCAGACCAGAGCCTTGTTGGTTTTACGCTGCTGTGAGCACAACGTTACTGTTGCTTGTGGATTTATCATGGTTCTTGTGGCACCTTTTCCCACTGGTCTTGTCTGAATCCAGCCAAGTCTGTAGCCTCCAGAGAGATACTTGGAAATCACTTACATTGAACAGATAAAAAAAAAAAAAAAAAAAAGTCAGAAGGACTTGTCTTTCTCTTCCCATTTCCATTAAAATACCTTGTTTTCTGAAGCCAGTCTCTTAATTTTGCAACCTAACTTGTAGTTTTGAAATTGTTAGAATTGGCAGCACAGGAAGGGATAGAAAAACACAAAGGATTCATGTGATTCCAGGGAAGACTAGGCTTGAGTTCATTCCTGAGAAGCTGTGCCAATGCTTAGAGAATATGTGTGAAAAGTCCGTTTTTCTTAAGAAAATGTGACTGAATACACAAGGCAAGGTAGTCTGTTGAATAAGAAGATCCTGATTTTATGCAATCATTTTTCAAGACAAATCCTCCTTTAAGATCTTTACGTGGGTTGTTTCTGTCTTTAGCTCCCGCTCTTTGGAAGGATAAAAGTTGAATCATGTCTATTGGTGTTTGAATTTGTAGTTTAAGATCTGATAATGATAAACGTAACTTTCCTTCCCCCAATTAGTACAAGAGCAAATGCTGCAGTCAGTTGCACATTGTATGTATTTCAAAAAAAAATGAAGACAATTTGTTTCTTCCTTTGTTAAATAGCTTCAAGCTTCTAGTAACTATTACTAGTTTTCGAAAACTAAAATTTTATGTTTTTATATTTGTATATAGGTTTTATATTTTGCCTAAAAATGAGAAAGTTTTAGCTGAAACACAATATAACACATGACAAATATTTGTGGAAAGGTGGTATTTATTTTTGGGCAAAGAGCAGAAAGTCAGCAATGAAGGTACCGGTTCTCTTTTTAATGAAGCTTGCTCCTTAGCGTTGAGGTTATCACCTTTTGACTTAAAAACGTGTCATTGGTGATCCACTCGCTGCTTAATAAAACTTTTGTTCTGATGAATTAAAAATGGGTTTAAGATTCCATGTCTTTCCAAACTTGCCACGAGCACACGGATACTTTGTCTTGGAGGTAGGGATATTCACACATTCTCAAGTACTTGGAAAATACCATAGTGGCTGTACCGTATTGTGTTTGTTAGGCACACAGGTTTGTTAGGTCACACAGATGACCTCCTGGCACTGGGTCAAAATGACTTTATCAGAATTTAGCACCGCTGTTCAAGCATCAGAGAAAGGGAACGCTAAAGTGAGTATAAAGCCTATACAGCTGGACCCACAGAATGTCTAATTTTTTATCTGAGATAGGGAGATTTTTCTCCTATCACTTGTTGATTCCTCACGCCCGCCCCTTTATTCTGCCTGGTTGAAAACAGCATTCAGGGAAAGAACAGCACATGGAAAAAGAAATTCTGCTAGAACTGCACGTTGTGGCTGGTAACTCAACACATTTCTTACAGCCATATGGCTGAAAATTATATGGTGAACCCGTCTGTGTAGAAAAGCTAGCTGAGACATCATGGGACAAGCCCGGTAGCAGGGCATGTGAAAGAGCAGGTAGAGCAGAGGGCAGGCTGAGCATGTCTGAGAGCAGGTTTCCTGGGGCAGCAGAGACACTGGATGGGTGCATGGTGGAGGAGGTTTGCAGCTGGAAGAGCCCAGTGCTGCCTTCTGGCTGAGTCACTGAATAATGCATTTAATAATATTAAAAAATATGGAGCAAGCAGCAACCAGCGTGAGAGGCAAACAACTTTATCTGCTTCAAGGAGACATTAAGGGATTATTTTCTAAGATGCACTTTTCAAGGAGTGGGTATTGAATTGCTAGTGCATGCTGTGTACCTTTCTCTCTGAGTGCCTGCACTGGGTAGTCTGGACAAAGATGCTCTGCTTCATACTGATGTTACAGCAAGAACATGCATGAGAATGGGGCTTCGCTTGGTGATTTGTGTTTGTCGTGTTACTAAGCGTCTGGTTTAGGTTTCTTATTTTTACTCCTATCCACGTTTTCTTCTTAACAGCTATAGACCTTAAGCATGGAGCCAGTAAGGGTTAAGGGTCGGTGGGATGTGCAACACACCAGTAAGAGCAGAAACATCCCTTCAGCAGGCTAGCTCCAGTAGCAGGGCTGAAAATGAAGACACTAAGAGGTGAGGTCTGTACCCAGTTGCATTGCCTGGGTTCCTTCTCCGACTATCATAAACTGTTTTATTATTGCTACCTGTACAAAGAGTGCTAGTGGCCACTCTGACCCATCATTTTGTGAGCAGAGAGCAAAGAAAAATCAGGTCTGTGTCTGCAAGATCATGTGTGTAGTCAGTTCCTACCCAGAAAATGATTGTTGGCTGTCTGATTGAAAACTGAGAAGGTACTTTGTTAATTGTTTCAGACAGAGGAGTTGAGCCTTAGTGTGCTGATGCCTTGATTTTTGTCTTTCTACATGCAGCATTCCTTCGCTATTGGTTTTTGAATTATTTTTGAGCCGTTGTTAGCTGCAATCTTAAAATAATGACACAGCTTTTCTGAGAAGGGGGGCATTGGAAGCCGTTCGAAAATTGATAAAGCCAACCTTAGAGGACCAATAATTGAAAGTGGTTTCTTGCGAGTGGTGAAATCAAATTAGCAGCCTAATTTGCCTACTGATTTTCAAGTGAGGAAAAAAAATGGCACTCCTATTTTTGTCTGTGATCACTGCCTTGAAGATAAATGACTTTGCTCCTTGCTGCAGGCCAGTGTACGTAGCCTTAGACACTACACAGTGGTTTGGTTTTTTTTGTTTTGTTTTGTAATTGATTTTTTATCAGAAATTTTCAGAACAATTTCAAACCCAAATATCTTCCCTCTGCCCTTTTATTTCTTACTTGCTCTCTGCCTGATTTGGCTGTCAGTGTAGTGCACTGACAAATAAATCATTGTCAGGGCTCAGCTCCCCAGTGCCCAAGTCATGAGTCCCAAACTAACCCCGCGGTGCTGCAGAGGTCCTTACTGCACAGCTTCATCAAAGCTTGCTGACTTTGCGGCATCCCATTGTGAAGGCAAACACGCCTTGAAAGACACCATCTTCCTTCCACAAGAAACGACTAGAAACCAAGGTGCTGTACAATGCAGTATAAACGCATTTAACACCAGCAGCGTGACTCCTTTGCAAGGCATGTGGCCCGGTGCGTTAAGCGCTGGTCGCCCATTTCTGGGCGACCTTGAGCAAGCAGATTCCACCCCGGTTTTGTTGAACACTTGCTGCGTACCTGACTCTCAGTTCTGGGTTTTTCTGTCTGATTTCCCGTGTTTAGTGCTGATAAGCCATCCTGGAAAAGCCTCGCTTTCTGACAGCGTCGGGGCCAATTTCTGTGGCTTGCCCTCGGAGCAAGGGAAAGATAGAGCATTGCAACTCACAACTTCACTGCCTGCCCTTTGAAAGCCTCGCATGAGGTTCAGAAGATGCTAGATCATTGCTAAGTGTTTTGCCTTTGTTCCTTTTCCAAAGCATTAAAATCTGACCTTGCAGCCTGCAGAGGAAAGCTTCTTTAAAATACAAACATGTTTAATGAAAGTTGACAAAACCCAGCAAAGCCTCAACTCCGACTGATCATATGGTGCAAAAGCAAATGAGCATTTGGGAATTCTGTGCGAGGCTGTTTCAGCTTTGGCATGCTGGTGCTCGATTTTTATGGGGTCTGTGGGTTGCTGTAATCATTTAACTTCTCACCGTACTGCAGACATTTGCAGCGAGCAGAAGGCATCAGATGTAGGA